GTCCTTCTGCCAAATTGCCCCTTTGTACTAAAAACAATTAACTCAAAAGCCCGTAAATCAGAGAACACCGAAAGATCTGACGAGGGGATTCCCCTAGTCGAGACGGATCGGGAAACGCGCAACGCAACAGCCTGGCTCATTGCTAGTTATGAGTCAATGCTCATATTTACGAAAGAATTTTTCCTTCATACTTTCCTCATATCTCGAAGTTTTCGTAGGTAGAGATGCTTGTGTCTCGAGTTTCCACTGTATAAAAGATGAATAATTATTAGATATTATCTACAGTGGTGACCAAAATTGTGAACACTTTTGGAAATTATGCTTTTGAACTTTGTATGCTCATAGAAAACTTTACGTTTCACAAAATGCAAACTTGTATATATCATTTTAAAGAGAATTTATTACTGAATTCAATACAAAACACAAAATTCAATTATTTGCAATACAAAAAAAGTTAAACGATAATAGTTATCGATATACATTAAATAGTGATGGTTGCAGTGAGTTATCAGTACTTAGGGTACCCTTTATTTTTGATTACAGCTTCACATAGACGTTTCATTGAGCTGACTAGAGTTTTAAGCTCTTCTTTCGTTATTACATGATGCCAGGAAACAATTATAGCCTCAATTAGTTTCCTTTTATTATTCGGACAAGAGTTATCAAACGGTGACACAAATTTTCGATAGGATTGAGGTCAGGACTGTTTCCAGGCCATGACAACAATTTAATGCTCTTTGTACGAAACCACTCTTTCGATATTTTGGCCGTGTGGCAAGGAGCAGAATCCTGCTGAAAAATAAACGAAGCATTGTTGGAAAAGAGATCTCTGATGGAAGGCAGAAGTTTTGGTTCTAGAATAGTGTCAATGTATTTTCTGGCATTCAGTGTCCCATCGATGACATGAAGGCGACCAATACCATCTGCTGACATGCATAACCAAATCATAACTAACTCGGTTCTTCACAGTTGCTTCAATGCAGTCAGGATGTAGCTCTTCTCCTATTTTACGTCTTACATATTTTTGTCCATCACTACCGAATAACGATATCTTAGTTTCATCACTCCATATAACTTGTGACCACTGATCATCTGTCCAATTAATGTGTTCCTTTGTCCACTGTAGTCTTTTCTTTTTCGTTGCTGAAAATTAAGATAAGGCTTTTTTCGTGGAATTCTACCTCTCAGTCCAACATCTGTTAAACTTCTCCTGATGGTTTTTGAACTGACAGAAGCACCAGCATCATTCAGATCACTTCTGATGGCCGCTGATGACATTTTTCTATCTTGGAGACAGAGTCTTTTTACTCTTCTGTCATCAATAGATGTAGTGCACCTTTTTCGGCCTTTTCCTTCTTTGTTTTTTATTGAATTTGTCTTCTGATATCGTAAACAAAACTTTCGGACTCCAGATGTAGTCACTGAACCACCCACCTGTCTTGCAATATCAACATAGGAAAGACCACGTTCTCGTAACGCAATAATATTACATCTCTTTCTAGGTGTCCAATCTACTCTTTTATTTGATGTAATTGCTTCTTGACTAAATATTAAAAATTTTTACAAAACTTCCTACTTGTAATTTCAGTGTATAAGAAACAGGTCCTCCTTCTACAGAACAAAGCAAAATAATGAATTGTTTCAAGTGTAAACATGATGTCAGCTTCTACTGGCAGTTACTAGCATTTGATTGGTTGGTTCTCAGAACAAGAACAGTGATTGGTCAGGAAAGCTAGACATTACAAACCATTTCATAACTGTGTTTTTATTTATATTAAAGTACATATAACTTTTTTGTATTGCAAATAATTGAATTTTGTGTTTTGTATTGAATTCAGTAATAAATTCTCTTTAAAATGATATATCCAAGTTTGCATTTTGCGAAACGTAACATTTTCTATAATCATACAAAGTTCAAAAACATAAAAATTTCCAAAAGTGTCCACAATTTTGGCCACCACTGTATAATTACATGTATTATTAGCATATTTTTATTTATTACGATCTGTTAATTTAGATTTTTTATAATAGTAACGCTTTTTTGAGTTACTCTAAGTAGTTACCTTTGATTATCAAAGAAATCGCACTACTGGTAAACTGAAAATTTATATGTATGCTATAGATGGTTTATGTATGTTATCTAATGTGTAAAATAATATAACATTTTTATAACGATTGTTTTAATAATTTTAGAAAAGCGACATTGTTAAAAACAGTAATTTCATTAACTGTCTTATTGTTATATTTTTAGTGAACAATTATTTATTCTTTTTGTTTTTTATTGTTTTAGAAAACTATGCATTTTTGTTCATTAAGCTTTCTATTTATATAATGAAAAAAAAAAGAGTAAAATAAACGAAGAATGATTTAAATAAGCGCAAAAACTAGACACATTCACTGACATCTAAATTGCGAAAATCCATCATTTTTAAAAGAAGGGGATAAGAGGGAATGAATTTTTCTCATTCCTTATTCTTCGCATATAAATAAGTGCTTGCAGTATATTTGTGTGCAAAAGTAATGGGCTTGGAAATCACTTATGGTTGTGTCAATCCAGATTTGTTCTTTACTGAAAGATTTTTCCGAAAATGATATTATGGAAAGCATCGTAGATTTAAATAAAATATAAAAAGAGTCTTGCAATATATCTCAAGTGAATTTTTATGTGGCGCATTTTTTGTTAGACTAGATTTCAGAAGAAAAGTTGCATGGCACCGCAAAATTACGCAAAACTAAATTTACAAAATAAAGCTTAAACTTTATTTTACATGAGTTCGAAAAATCATATGGGCAAACGTGGGCCACTTCTATTTTCTAATGATAGCAGGAATATTTTTATCATAGCATTGGAAATACATGTCATGTGTATGTATATGTGTCCGTAGGCCACGAGAATGAATTTTGCTGTTGAATATTGGTGTTCACAGGATCGAAGGGATTAATATACAAATTCATCAAAGTGTAAATCACAAACAATGTTATGCGCAGTTGCATAAAAATTGCAAATACGAGGTACAGAGGTATCAGAAATAATTAATAGATTAAGGGGAGAATAGAATGGAGCGCTGTCCGATACAGACAAGCAAATCCTATACATACAGCATATTGGGACCTGTTGCCATGGCACGTGACATTAAAAAAAATGTAGTGCTTTTAGCGGATGCATTTGTGTCCACAAAAACTGAACATCTGTACACTGCCGAGATGGATTATGTCCTCGGTGGTAAAACAGTTTGCTGCAACTCCAGTAGAGAGGAATTACTGCGTACCAAACCCCAGGCCTGGGAACAAGCCGTTGCTTGCAGAAGCCAGTTATCCTCTGGAAGATGTTTGCAGTACTGAATACCTAAACTATCCGCAATAACTTAAGTTAAGGCTATAAAGTAGGTCACGCATGGCAATAAGTAGGGCTGTCATGCGCAATAAAGTAGGGCTGAACGCATGGAAAGTAGCAACTTGTGTGCTTTCAACCGCTGTATAGAGGACAGTCCGGGACCTCAGCTGTCCTGCTATCATCGATATTGCGAATGGATCAGTGACTGGCATCAGTTACTGTTCACGGATGAATCCCGCTATTGGCTGTTTCAGAAGGATCGGCGTGGATGGGTTATTAGTCGCCAACCGTTTGATATAAATATTTCTACAACAAATTACCAAAGTAAAGAAAATAACTTTTTTGCCTTGTTTTTTCCCATAGCACCGAGCATTATCATAGTCTTGAGCAATCCAAGAAAAAAGGTTGTACAAGAAATTGCAAACGAAATGCATTTATTTAGCACATTAACAGATGTTTAACGTAGAATAAGATTAATTAGATTTTTTAGAATATATATTAAGAGAGCATTCAATAATGAGTCATTATGAAATAGTTTTTACACTGCCCCTACATACCCACATGAAGGAGTGAGGAAAAAAAAAAGAAAAGGCCTGTCACTCAGTTATTCTTTCCGTAGAATTCCAGAGACGAACCCTGCCATAGTACTTGCCTTCTGGGAATTACATCGGAACTCCAGGTACCCTCCGAGCGGGAGCAGCCCTCGCTGTCACACCTCGGCTTTATACAAAGCATGAGAACGGATTTAACGCTGAGACAAAAAAAGATACGAAGACATCTTTTTCCCGGGCACCATTCCGGGATCATCGATAAATTCGAAGCGTGTTCCGTACTTTATCAGTCCACGTCGAAGGAACCGAATGTAACCAAACCCCCAAGGAAGGCCACAAAATCCAACCATGTTGCGACCCCACAGCCAAGGGGCAGACATGACAGTACCAGTACGGTCCCTGCCAAGTCTGAATCTTCCACCGAATGAACGGAGGTTCTAGTCCTGTGAAGACTGACTTATATACCCCCGTGATTGAGATTGCCCAAGTACAGATCCTATCGAGTACTTCCCAGAAATTCCCCTGAGTCAACTCCCAGGAGTGTTACTCTTCCACTCCACTCTGAGATTAGATCGTCTATCGCCTTATTAGCGACTGTTCATCACTGCATACCAACACTGTTTTTGCCGACTGCTGCACTGGTTTCACGTTTGCAATCACATCCGGTGTGTACGTGTCTGGTTATCTGATAGCAGACTAGTACAGGAAGCGGAATATGGATCTTGTGTTCCTACCAGTCGTGCAAAAAACATCCGGCACTGTGTCCCAGCAAAACGACGCTTTGTCGCATGGCGAGTTCTCAGCAGTCTGAATAGGATTAATGTTCTTCTCTGGCCATCAGCTTCCTTTATCTCTGCATCATGGAACACCTTCAGAGATACACGTGTATCGTTTCTCATGGGGACCTCACTAGGAACTTTATCAACAAGTTACGTGTTGTCGAAAATACATTTGCTGTCGAATTTTTTAGTATCTTTGACATCTCTTTCGTGCTCGTGATTTTCATTTTTTCATTTTGTGGAGCGCATTTTTCAACGGTATTGTCATTTCAGTTGTAATGAGTGTAAGTTTTACAAATACTCTGTTCTTAATGCATAATATTTTTATTATTTTAGAAAGGAATTGCTGGCGAATTATCAAAGCTACACTTGGGACCACCAGGCAAACCTCAAAGCGAAAGCTCAGAAATGCGAAGATTCTCTTGGGAACGAGGGCAAATCGATTATATGGGAGAAGATGCCTTCTCCAACATACAGAAGAAGTTAGAATCTTCAATAAACGGAGACAAGAAATAGCTGTGTCCAAGATTTTTAGCTACTATGCAGTGTCTCCGACAAGGAGATCTTTTATAGCTCTTGCAATTGTGTTTTCCTGCCATCATAATTTAACATTTGTTCAACAGTTTGAAATGAACTTCTGAAATGGAAGTTGCTGCTGCTAGTGCCTATCGTTTTCGATTAATGTCTATACCCAGAATCTTTTAAAATTAACTTTAGTGTGCTATTTTCTGTTTCACTGTAGGAACGTTTCATCCACTGGACTTCACACTTTCAATTCCATTTTACAACGGTTATGAAATATTTAATTTGACTTATATCATTACCATTTTTTATTTCGTCACTCAGATGATATGTCAGCATTTTTGGCTAAAATTCCATAAGGGGGTAAGTTGGCGCCAAACTATTATTTTGGCCTTCAAAATTTGGCGAAATTTTAGGCGGCAATGAAAGCACCAAAATGTGATTTTTAAACGTAAACAAAATAGTAACTTTTAAGTTTTGCAGTAGTGAAACGCCGTTATTTTAAATTGTAAATTATTACTTCCATAGTAAGAGAATAGTAAAATGAGATCATAAAATACTAGATGAGTAAAACAAAGTCCAACAGTTTTGCAAGTAAAAACATAGTCCTATATATGTAATTCATCATAAAATAGTAAAATGAACAATTCTTGTAAATAATTATTGAGTAAATAAATATATACACATATCAGATCAGAAGTGAGTTTTAAACGTAAACAGAATAGCAAATTGTGCGTATTCAGCATCATAAAACTAACAAACATATTCAAGTTACTATCGTCGTGGAATTCAACATACTAAACAACTTTCGTTCAAGGCTTTAAATATTCCACATCTTTCGATTACCACATGCAAGAAACAAAACTAAAAAAAAAAATTAACTAAATAAAATTAAATGAAAACATTCATAAATTATAAACTTCACGTCATAAAAAATCCAACATTCTCCCACCAACAACAGCTTAACCTTCTGCAAATATTTATATAAATATAATATTAAACATATATATAATAATAATATTAAACAGTAAAACTTTTAAAAACAAACACAGTATTTCAAAATTAAATTTTTGAAAAAATCTTCTGGCTACAGAATTCGCGCTTTTATACTTACCGAAATAAAGCTCTAGGTTTGCCATAAAAAAACATACAGCCGGAAACCACAACCAAATCAAAATCGCGCCAAATAAAAAACTCTCGCCAAGCTCGGCGCTCACCCGATTATGGAATTTTAACCGCATATTTAATATTTTCATAAGACTTAACGTAAAAATAAATTCCTTTGCATTTCTTTCGGAGATAAAAATAAATCCGTTATCTAACAGATTTATTTTTACTTTTAAATTTAACAAAAAATTTTATTGAAAGAGTATTGAGTTCAATCGAATGTTTCTTTTTCCTCTATATATTTATTTTATAAAATTATCTAAGATTTTATAATTATTAATTTTTAAAACACAAAATTATATCTATTAATTTCTAGCAGTGGTTTTTGACGAAATTCAGTTTAACTTAAATGTTTACGTTTTAAGAATTAATTTTTATATTGACATAATGCTACTGTAAGTGTCAATCATTTTATTTATTCAATAATAAAACAATAATGAAAGTATGTGAGGCTAATTCGTCTTTCTTTAGACAACGTCATTAACTTGAAAAAAGTTCCTGGTGTTTGAAACAGACTGTCTTCACATCATTTTAACACTATTCATGCATGTAAACATTTAGTTCGTGTTTTTTAGTATCTGTCAACTCTCAAAAACATATCATCATAGAAGTAACTCATCATAGAAGTAGAAGTAGAAGTATAGTAGAAGAAGAAGAAACTCATCATAGAAGAGTATAATACAAATAAAATCAATTACTCCCTCAACGTGAGATTACTTTAGTATTTTAAAAAATAACCTGCATTATTATGATTTTCTGACTGACAAACATAACATTATTATATAACATACAAATATATAATGGTAATTTTTCACATGACTTTGAAATTTGTCTTTATGATTAAATTTAATATTCAAATTTTAAAACTAAGTTTTCCTAAGCGAAACGTGAAACTGGTTATTTACTTAAACTCGTCTTTTCGATGAAGAGACCATGGCAACAATTAGGTTCATCACGTCCTAACGAGTCGCCATAGTAACGATAAGCTCAAAAGCTTTGGAACAACAATTATTATAGTTTTTTACTTTTGAGTTTGTATCAGCATGATAAGTTTTTTCTTTTACTTAGATAATTTTAACTAGTAACTAACTAAATAAGTAAATATTTAAATACCAATGGAGTCATATTTTGAATACTTATTTCTGCCTCCCAAAAGGCTATGAGATAGACTTTCAGATAGAGTTCTGCTATTACTTAGGATTTTCCTGAAATATGAATCTGGTCGAATTTTATCGAATTATGTAGTTTCAAAACTGAACAATTGTATTTTAATCATATTGATAACACATTTTGTAAGTTTAATAAATAAATGAATATTTAAATATATCTGATTTCAATCCCGAATACTTAAAACAAATCTTTTCTTTTTAGTAACTGATAAAATTCTGTCAGCCAGTGCGATTACAAATTAAAATTCCTAGTGCGTTTCAAGATATAAATTACTAGTTCCCCATTTACAAGTGAAGAAGAAAAAAATCTGATTGAAAGGTTTCTCAGTAATTTATTATCATTTTAATACATATCATTAATTAATTAGTTTTTCATGGAGAAACTTTTTAAACCATAAGAAGATAGTGTCGGATTATTTATTTTATTATTTTATGGTAATATAGTACTTATAATAATCACTTTAACAATTAATAAGCACTTATAATTAATATAGCACTTATGGTAATATAGCACTTATGTCAAGCACTTCTGGGTAATGTGTTCAAACTCGTCTTCCAAAGTTCATAAATTATTGTAAAAACGTAATTTATTTTTTAAAATGTATACATTTTAAAGTTTTAACTTTTATCAAATGTATACGTTTCCATTGGCACATTTACCGTTTTCAGCTTCATCTTCAGAAAATGTGCATGAATTAGTTAACTGTTCTGCGTGCAATTTGTTTAACTTTTCTCCAAACTTCTTCCATCGATTGTACTAAAAGAAGCATGTGAAATGTTTTCGCACTCTGCATAAATTTGAAAATATATATATATATATATATATATATATATAATAAAGTTTTTTAATATATATTAGTATTTGTTTTCTTTTAAAAAAAAAAAAAAAAAAGACAAATTTGAATTTCTTTATTGTTTAAAAAATGATGAACTGAATCAAGTATTCTGTGATATATTTTTAAACTGACAATATATCTGACTAAAAGGTTTTTTTTATTATCCGGTCAGAATAGTCAGAAGACCGGATTTTTGTAAACATATCGCAAAATGCGATATGTAAAAATACAGACTTTTGATTGGCCAAATTTGTCCATCGTAATTGTGAAAATTTAGCTGAATTCCGCTTCAAAAAGCCATAGATTTGCGAAATATAGATTTTTTTTGTGTTCATACGATAGATTAATGAAGAAGCTAACATAAAACTAACGGATTTTACACTGATATATATATATATGTATTTTTTTTTCCAAGTTCATGGTGGTAGTAGCACTTTGTAGTGGTGGTACTAAATGTTTTTAATTTTTTAGATAGTACGCTTTAGTCAAAAGGTTGAGAAAAGCTGATCTAGTGTATTACGTTCGTCTTTTCCCTTAGAAGATTTTGATCTCTTTACTATATGTCGTGAAAAAGAAGAGTGTGCTTTTACATTACAAGGTAAAAGAAACTTTTGTGGACGTTGTTGTCTTGACCAAAATCGAAATCGCCAAAAAAGAAAGGGATTAATTCTATGCGATATATCAATCGAATTTTATTGTCGTTTAGAAGTAAACAAAAAGTAGTAGTTTTTTCTTCGTCTCTGAAAAGTAAACGAAGTACCAAATACGAATTTTTAATGGTTTAAATCAGCGATTCTGAACCGGTGAATTTTTAATCTAATATTTTTTATGTATGCATATTTAATACAAATAGCCAATACTAGTGCAAATGGCAAAATATATTTTTTAGTATTTTTATTCAGAAGTTGAAAAATAATCATTGTAAAATGTAGCGGTGGTCATGGGCGTAGTCAGATCGGAGCTATGTAAGTGCAAACGATCTTAGACCGAGAAAACGAAACTATGATATAACAAGAATTTGTCAGTGGTAGAGTATGTAAAATTACTGATCACCTGTCATTCGATTTGAAAGCGAATTAATTGGTTGGGTGCATGAGTGTTTTTGTGTTTTTTTCTCATGCATTATAAACTGAATACGAACCAGTTTACCTTAGAAAATTCTCCTATAAGACAGCTTTCCTTCAGGATAGCACTCACATACTTGGCTACAGTCGAATAAACCGGCAAATAAGTAACGGAACTGAAATACATGAGTTTAAATAGATCGGTTAAAATATGTGAGATAGGAATAAAGAGACTTTTTTACTTGGTTGGAAACATTTTTTACTTGGTCTTTAATTTATATTACAACAGATTTTCTGCTATCTGAACTTAAATCTTTCTGAAACTTCTATTTCTATTCTTGTTTCTTGAGCAAGCTTTCTATGCACATTTAACATACACAGCTCATTTAAGGGATTCTCTGCCATTGTAAGGCGCAACCAAGTTTTTACTCTGTGCAGGTTACTAAATGAGCGCTCAATAGTACACGTAGTGCATGGTTGAGATAAAGATATAAGAAGAGCACTTATATGTGGGGAAGTTTTTCTGGGGAAAAAATTGTCACTTTTACCAAATCGTCCATAGTTAACTCCTTCGTGTTGTCAATATCTAGTTCCATCGTTTTCCAGAAGTTATACCAGAGATCTCTCTCACTATCAAAATTTTTCAAGTGATAAAAATTTCAAAAGCACTCCGCCTTTTTGATAAATTCTTCCATTGGCATTTTAGCATAGCCAAGGGATATAATAACAACAAAGAAATTCTGGTAAATTATTGCTGGAAAATCTTTCTTCCAGTGATAGTATTAAGGAATCAAGATAAGGGAAAATAAGACACCTTTTCTAGAATTCATCGGTTGCAGATGCTGGAGGATTTGAGCGATGTTTTTTCAGTTTCACTTGCAAAAGAAGCATTTCCTGTCATGAAACATCTGTTGCTCTACAATGTTCTTTTACAAGCATTAAAATTCTGTTTATTTTCATGTATTTTTCATGTGCAAATTATGTACCCCCAAGTTACTAAAAATTATACTTAGGCTGGACGAAAAGGGAACGCTTGTTTATAAAAAAACTCTTGGAAATACAACCAGACATCCATTACTTATTTATATCATTTAAGGTGAATGTGAGAAAAAGGATATCCGGATGCTAGGTGGTCCTTATTTTTATGACCTGCTGTGAAAATCTTTGGAGCTGGAAAAGATTTCTTTCGGCTAAGAGATTCTACAGAAAACTGGGGGAACCTTAAAGAATAATATGAGAAACAGAAAAAACTTTTCGCTAACTTGTCAGTTGAAATAAAAAAAATAAATAAATAAATAAAAAAAATTAAAAAAAAGGAGTTGTATTCGTTTAGGGGGTGCAAGTGCACCTCCCTGCACTCCCCTGACTACGCCCATGGCGGTGGTATTAAAGTTTTTCAATTTTTGTGTAGATGGTACGCGTTAGTCAAAAGTTTCAGAACCGCTGGTTTAAATGATTTTCGAAATTTCGATTTTACAAACTTTTTTAGCTGCTCGTACGATTTCGTAAAAGAGAATGTTGACTATAATTATTATTGAATCTGGACAGCTAAAATAAGTTGAATTCAAAGGACAACGAGATCCGAAACCTATGGTGAAAATAATGATCTGAGTGCTCTACAGTGTCTTCAAATCGTTTCCCCCCACATAGTTGATCTTAATAAAATAGAGATGAAAGGAAAAGTTCTTGAAGAAAATAATATATTAATATTGAATAACTGTCACATATAATTATAAAAATTAATTAAAAAATCATTAATAATATCAATACTAACGATTCAGCACTTTTCGCAACCCACTACAGCCTATCGACACTGCACTTTGGAAGCCATATTTTAGAAAATAGGAAACCGTACTTTTCCGTTATCCGCCTGAAAAGAATTTTGGGAATTTCTTAAATGTGTTAAGATAAACACGCAGACATCCATAAATGGTTTGGTCTCCAGATGGCTCTTTAGTTGTGCTTGGCTTCTTTTTCCCCGGCGCCAAAACGTGTTGCAATTGCATAACGGAAAAGTACCTAAAAAATTGAAACTTATTTTTTTTCTTTCTCACCAAACGGCATTTTGGATTCATTCTTCATTCCCTGTTCCAGAGCTGGCTATTTGATTGACAAACGAACGTAACCTAAAAACCTCTGTAAAAATGCATATAAACCTATTGCAAACTGATTATTTTACTGCCTTTTAGCTTCCGAAAAACAGTAATACTTCAGGAACTTCTGCCAATATCTCTTACATTTGCCAGCAACCTTCGATCTGAAGATTCACATGAATACTTCATCTTAAAATGCAGCTTACGTAGGAAATTAAGAATAATTAATGAAATCATAAAAACAAGATAGTTGCTGGAAAACAATGTTTGAAATTTCAGAGACTTCACTGTGAAAAGATGTATACTTATTCTACATATAATTTATAAGGTAAATACAGGGATTTATAAGATTATAAGATTAATTTATAATATAAAAATTACTTATCATATAAATAAATAGATACAATTATAAGATAAATAAATACATTAATGATTCATTCGTTCTCAAAAGGCTACACATGAAAGATATATGAAAAGAACCACAAACTTGCCAAGTTTATGCACCCTCTACAGATATTTAATATGCGCCTCTTTGATGACACGACACACGTCCAGACAATAATCCAGCTCATTTCACATATTTTGTAGCATTGTTGGTCAAATATTCGCTTTTTCAATTGACCATACATCTGGAATATCGAAAAAAAATGTGTGGAAGATTTTGCGTCAACGGTGCATTTCAAACCATACCAAGTGTAGCTCCCTGTCGACTAGATTTTTGCGTCAACACTCGAGGACGAAGGCTTCGCCAACAAGTTGATATTCAGCGATTAAGCAAAGTTCCACTTATCCGGAAATCTTGGTGAAATAATGAGAAAGACTTGATGAGTTTGTGATTCTTTTCATGTATTTTTCATGTGCATACCAGTAATTATTTTGAAAATATAGCCTTTTCAAAATGAAGGAATCGTTTGTGGTACCTCTGTATTTGAAATCCTAGTTTAATAATTTAAATTTAATATATTCCTGCCTGCTTTGAAAATCTCAAAGCCGGGATATTTTGCTTCAATAAGGTTACTTACTTACAATGAGTTTTAAATAATGTAACTGTTATTAGTACGTAAATGCTATTAGTATTTTGAGAGTTGGTAATACAGTGCTTTGCATTGCGAACCACGTGTAGCTCCTTATGGACACTTCCATATTGATATATATTTTATTTAATTTGCATTTAATTTCAGTTCTACTATAGATAACGTGCCCTTTAATTTGGCGCCGAATACCGAAGCTGGTACCGATTTCCTGGTAGCTCAGAATCGACTCTATTCCTCCAACGTTATGGCAGCTTTTTATTTTTTTACGTGCCAATATTTTTCATAAGCTTAATCTGATTGGAACTTCTTAGTCAAAATCTAATTCATCACTGGAAGAGGATGATAGAGACTAATTACAATGTCTGCAGTTTGACTGTCCTGATTCGAATTCTCCAATTGTTCTGAGAATAATTTCATTCTTAATGAAAGTTCATAGATGGCTTTCTTTGCCTTTTTAATTTATTCGTCATCCAAGAAAATTCGGTGTTTCGGATCTGCGTATATTGAACCCAGCAAGATCTCATTGTCTAGCAAAATAGTTTCTCTTTTCATCATTGAAAGAATGATTCCTTCTGCAATAAACCATCCATTATAGAAAAAACAAACACCTCTTTCTTCCATTCTCATCTCCAGTCAAATCTTCAGATTGCAGCTTTTTTGTGGCTATATAAGGTGTAGAAAGAAGAGTTTCCAGTTCTGCAAGATCATTCCACAGTCTTTCTGTTAGTGAAACATTAGGGTTATCTACATCTTCTAAAAAAGTTCTTAATATAAAAACTTCTTTGTCATCAAATATGTACTTCCTTATCGCGTTGCTTGATCAATAATTTGCTCCTTTTCCTGCTCGCTTCCTAAGAATGGCATCAATTTTGGGAGTTCTTGCTGCTATTGCTGCTAAATTTATCAGGGAGATTTGTAACTAAATCAGTTTAATCACTGATGGCACATATCACATCCATCCTCCTCCCTTATATTTATTTATTAATATGACCATAAAATAGAAAATAACTACTTATGTATATTGTCCATAAATAAAAAAATAACTTAGCTTGTCATTAATTTTTTTAATTCATCGTAATTTCATTTCAAATTCAAACTGAACAACAAAGACTGGAGTCGAAGTCGACCTGCTTTTAACGACTCCAGGTCCGACTCCTTTTACCTCAAAATCTGCCCGACTCATCCGACCCGCAGCCCTGGTTAAAACACACCTTAACGCCTTTTCTTGTGCATTACTTATGATTTTAGTTTTTCCATGTCAACGTGATTTTGAGAACATGATTCGGTTAAAAGTAAAGATTACGGCTTGTATAAACTTTTTGTGTGAATATTAACAGCGTAACTTTACCATTTACCTATACGGTCTTCCTTAATGTCTGAAACTACGAAACACAACAATGACAACTTGATTTCAAAGTCAAATTCTCTGATCTCGTTTTCTTGGGAAAATTTTAAGAAATTTCCTCCATCAACTAAACCAGTACAGGATTTACGTGTAAGCTACACAATCTGTAGCTTAGAACCCGCTCTTTCTTGCCCCGCCCAAACCCCTCTAGGTATCCGAAAATCATAATTGGCACTGATATATAATATCTGGACCTATAAAGGGCCCCATATCTCAAATAGTTTAGGGCCTTATCAAGTCTAAATCCGGCCCTGAAGTAAACTTTAAGGTTTGGTTTCTCTCTCTTTTTCCTTCTTCATACTTTCCACAAAAATTACCAGCTTGCTAAAATTTCAAGCTACTCTCTCATCAGCTGGGCACAAAGTTTAACGAAATGACTAATAGCAGGGATCACAAAAAGCGATTAAACTTTAAATACTGCATTGTTGGACATTGGATTCGTATTCCAATAAGCAAGCTGAACTGAACTGAAACCTTCAGCTGAACTGAAACTATAACGTTGGAGGAATAGAGTCGATTCTGATCTGAAACCTTAGCGAATGAAGGAACACCTTCAGCGAATGAATGAAATTGGTTATCGATCTTTATGTAAAAAATAGCGCTAATTATTCGTCACTCTTCAGTGTAGCATGGCTAGTTGTATCAAAGTCCAAAGGCGACCTGACCATACCTTTAGAGATATTTACTTTTTATATTTTCTAATATTTAGTAATTTTTATACAAACTGTATAATAGTCTTTTTCGTTCACAAGTGCATATGAAATATATTTTGACTGAAGAAATGAGTTTTCCTATTGATTTCAAAGTGTCTCTCTGATCTGAATTCTTGCTTGCTATCTCTGTGGTGATCAGAGCTCAGAGTAATTTTTAAAATTTTCATATTAAATATTTTTCTCCTTTTTTAAGCACAATTTAACTATTCAGCAATATGCAATTGAAAATTAGAAGAGAATTGCTTAATTAGGCAATAAAGCAGATGCTGAAGTTTACATAAAACGATATATCATGCTTGCTTGTTTTCTTTCTTTCTTCTTCTTTTTTTTTTTTTTTTTTTTTTTTTTTTGTTCAGGTGGCATATCATTGGTTCAGTTTTTCTCGCAATGTTATTGGCGATGTTTCAGTGTCCTTTAAAATTTCATGTTTCGGTTTCGCACATCTTTCCGACCGGAGTGGCAACGTGTGATTTAATAAACATGTAGTTCGATTTTGAGAAAAATTGACGTGTAAAGGGTTCTTTCATTTTAATTTATTGTAGAAGAATATATCAGCTGTGACACCTGCAAGAATATTTAATTCTAAAGGGTAAGCGCAAACTCACATTCAACAGTATCTGCATTTGTGGACTAATTTGTGTGAAAGTATTTGAATTTAGTAAAGCGAGATCAAGAAATGAAGTATTGCATTTAACTGTATACCAATTTTCCAGACTAAGTCGTGTGACTCCCTGCATGTCCTTCTACTAATATGCTTGTCAAAACCCTGTTTATGGAATGAAAGTAACTCCATTTGATAAAAGTAAGTGTAAATAAAGTTATTTTTTCCGTTATTTGACGACTAAGCAATTTTCTTATGATGCTGTTAGATTTCTGTAAGCTTATCTTCTTTTTATTTTCTCAAAATTTGCTTTAAAAAAGAGTTATATTTTTTACTACTGCTTATCAAATTCTTAGGCATAAATTTAAATCCTGTATTTTAAAATTTAATAGAAAAAAAAAGTTTGGAATGTTATATGTCGTAGGTTATGTCAAGATTTTTATCATATTAGGAATATGATTTATATTTCTTTTCTATGCAGTGCAATGTTTTAAATTATCCATACCTGGAAATTATGGAATTTTATGTAATAATGTGACTTAATTTTTTTGTTTTACGATTTTTATTTAAAACAATGAACTTTATATTTTGTAATCAAGTTATAATACTTGTATCTGTGTTTATATCACTTCATTTTAAGTACTAATAAATGTAATGTAAATAAAATTTTCTATAATTATTAAATTTTATGTTTTCATGATTTTTGTTTCATAATGCAATGCTAATATTTTAGCTCTTTTTGAATATTAATTGAAAGTTTCTAAATTTTTCTCCCTTAATTTCAATATGGAATTGATTTTAATGTTTTAGTAGTTCAAATTTGATATACCTGATGCAAATCATTTTAAAACGACTCTTGTTATAATTCTTAAAGATTATCAACTTATTATTATAATAATTTTTAAATCATTAAATTTCTTTTATTCTCTATAAAAAAGGGGTTTGTTTTGATTCGGATCTGTGAGATTTCACTGTAACTGAAAACACTGTTTTGTAAATTATATAGAGCTTAGTTTGCATTAGCTATAAATTTTGCAATATGGTTGGAGGATGAAAAAAACTGTTTGTTTACTCATCTTGCTCAGAAATAGTCCGTTAGGAAACTGTAATCTGATAAAGAGTCCAGTATTGGTAAAGTTAGTGAATCCATATAGTGCAGGTTTGGTTTTTTTATTTTTCTATCAGCAGGATAAAATGAATTGACTGCTAGGACTTTAATATTTTCTTGTGTGATCTATAATACAAAAGCAAATTAGTTCCATTATGCTAAAAATTTTTCCATAAAAGGTACTTATCACTGGGTACCTATTTTTTAAGTGTTGCTAAAATAGCTTCGATTTGTATCCTTTGTCAGGGAAAAGCTTAATTTCGGGGATTGTGTTTTCAGGAATTGTTACTGTGTTATATGTATAGTATCTGCAAATCCTTCTTCCCAGTAACAAAATGTATGTCATAAAGTCAAAATCTATTTTTTTTGTCTCCAATTTCTATTAGAAAATATATAGTACAACTGTATTTGTTAAAGAAGTTGAATTTTCATTAAAAAAAATATTCAGGACCAGTTTTTATTATTAGGTTCATTATTCCAAACTAATCAAGAAATGACTTCTAGAACTGTATACATAGATACATATACTTAATTTTTTTTTTTTTTTTTTTTTCTTACTGAGCAAGGCTTAAATTTTTTTAAAAGATTTAATTGGCCAGAATTTAGGTAAACCTTTTAAAAACAAGTGATTATACATTTTTCCATATCTGTAATGTTCAGTTAATTATCATTGCATATAAATAGTATAAATAGTTATATGACATTTTAGTAATTTTACTTAAAGGGTGAAATGTGCATTAAAAATACAGTCCATAAGTGTACCTGTTTAAACCTTCCAACTTGTCAAGGAATTTGTTAAGAAAACCCGAATTTCCAAAAACTACCATGAGAAAGAGGAATTTTCTTGATTTTAATGGTACCTTTAATATATTGCATGAACTTCTTGGATATATCTCAAGATGCATATATAATACACTTAAAAGCATTACAAAAAGTATTCTAGGCCATATATATATCGCCTGGCTAGTCAGAGCGTTAATGAGAAAATAGCTTATTATTATTTAATACATTTATGATGATGAGTATTAAGTCATGCTGTTTAATTTTATGATGTATAATAATAAATTATGCTTTTGTTGTAGAACTGTTATAGAAAAAATGTTTTTGCTTTCTTAAGTGGAATTGCAGTTTTTTGGTCAAAATTTTTCATTTATCATGGGTTTTGGCAAGTTCTGTGATGTTGTTAAGTGGAAGTAATTTTAACATATATTCCTTTGCCTCCCAAACAAAAGTATTATCTCAGTGTAGTGAATTTTTAAGAATATTTATAATTGATAATGTTTAAGAAATTAAATATTACATTTGAATAATTAAATATTTTATGCCCATTAGTCTTTTTCTGATGATCCAAAAAGTTTTAATATGTACCATACAGATGGCGCCACATGTAATTTTATTAAAGTGACTGGAATAGTACAAGCATTTTATACCTGCTATTTTTGAACTGCAGCAGTTTAACCAGGATTAAAAGGTCCCTATCCATATTTTTTTTTTTTTTTTTTTTTTGGAAGCACTAGAATGTATTTGAGTTGACCAAATAAATTTAATTATATTTTATCTTTACATGAAAGTGTGCAACATCAGTGCTTTTCACAGTGGATTATTTACTATTTTAATAAATGCTTGTTACCGAAACTTGAGGTGAGAGAACACTGTTTTTTTTTTCCCTCTCTTTTCTCTTAATTCAAATTCATAATTCCATGAATTTTAATTTCATCTTATCCATGATCAAAATTTAAATGAAAAAATAATTTTTAACCATCGAGAAAATTAATTTTTATTTTCAAATGATTCATTGACTGTACTAAAATTAAATTAAAAATTAATAAGTTTAAAAATTATAAACCATAAATTAAATTTTAAAATTAACATTTAATAAAAAATGTAATAATCAAATAAATAAATCTAAATAACATTTTAAATACTTATTTTTCTGATGGCATTTTAATATTATTAATCTTTTTTCTTTGCTTGAATTTTAAAGAAACAATTCTCTAAAATTTAAAAATAAAATGAAAATTGAAATTTGCATAATTTTTGAAAACATAATTCTGATGGAGAAGGTGGTGTTATGTTATATTATTAACTGATATTTTTTTTTGGGGGGGGGGTCTGCTGCTAAAAAATTTTAAACTAGCTTTTTCATTTTTGCAGTATGGAATATATCTTTTAATAGGATTTTGAACCAATGCTTACTCCTTACTGGAAAAACTACTTTATGTGGCTGTTATTTTACACAAATTTTTTTTAATAATGGTATTAAATTGAAGACATGACTAGTCTTACTTTTTATCCATTTGCTGAAAGACTTCTGTTTTTAAGGTTTATATATAGAATCTTCTTCTTCAGATGCAGAAGTGCAAATAACTAAAGAGAAGCCTGTGCTCAGGCAATAATAATGAGAGGAAGGATCAAGCTACTGCTGCTATCTATTGATGAAAAATTAAAATAACTATGAAATAATTTCCTTAAAAGCTGAATATAAAGGCAGATTGGAATTGAGGTCGTTAACTAGAACTGAAAGATTTTTTAAGAATGTGTGCACTAGTAGGTTCTGTGTGTAAACCTTCAAAACTAGGCCAGCAAATTTATGAATGTTATGCTGATTCTTGTTGCCTTAACACCTCCAAGAATCATTATTCAGCATGTTAAATTCAAGGGTAAAAGGAATTTTCTTTTTAAAGGGACTGAGAATAGGCATTTTTCCCGGGAGGAATCTTTATCTGTCGTTCTGTTGGTTAAATCAGAGCTTAAATTACACAGGAACCCACTGGAGCCTAGCCTAGTTACTTCTCAGTTTTTGAGATAAATTATAATTTTAGTTGGGGCCCATCAGAGCCGTAAATAAAAGGGCTCCGGCACTTCTTTTATTTTAATTAAATAAAAGTTAATTTTTATTTTAATAATAAATATATGCCTTAAAAATTGAATCTAACTTTTGAATGCTGGCCTGCCTTTCCCTTGAACTCAAACCTTGGGCATAAGTTGAGAATTTTAAGGAAAGAAAAGCCTTCTCTCGCATGTCAAAAGCTTATTCCTCAGGATGTGCAATGAATTTATGAGAGCAGATAAATTTCTCATTCTGAAAGTGATCATTGTCACTCTAATGGCTCCTGTGTGACAGCTTCTATAGACTGTTTGAGTGATGTAACCAAACATGAGAACCACTAATGTCACTTGTACAGAGGAATCTTATGGTTATTCTTATGTTGTTGTCGAATTATATTCAAGGAATATTTTTGTTTGATGGCTAGATTTATATCAACAGGGCATTGTGATTGTGATTGTGAAGTCTTGCACTCGTCTTTATTTTCAAAGTTTCACTTAATCAGGGGTGTATCTGTCCCCGGGCGCAGAATCCAAGGGGCACCAAACTGATGTTAGGACATTTTAGAATTAAATGTTTTCCATCCTTGGCAAGCAGTAGGGGGCGCGAAATCTTCAGTTGTCCCTGGGCGCTGAAAACCCTAGCTACGACTCTGCACTTAATATCTCTGCTTGACAGCTAAAATTATATCAACAAGGTATTGTGATTAGAAAGTCTTGTACTCTTCTGTTTTTATTTTCAAAGTTTCACTTTTCCATTAAAATTTCCTTCCAAATCCTCATATTGTTTCTAGAATTCTCACTGTTCTCCTTAGGAACACTTAAATCGTATTATGTTTTTTCATTAGTTTTTTTTTTTTTTTTTTTTTTTTTTTTTTTTTTAAGGGTTGATTTTTGTGTCTGTCATCAATAGCACCCTAATTGTATAAGGACTTAAATTCAAATGGAGATTGGCTAAGCTGCTTCTTAAGGTGGGAATGGAATTTTAATTCCAGTCAGAGCCCCAAATAAGACTAAGTTCGATAATTTTTTTGATTTATCTATTTAAAATTAATTTAACAATTTGTTATATTTCTGTTTATCTCTTTGCATTTAATATAATTTTAATTAAAATTAATTATTTACATTTTTTTGTTATTTTATTTATTTCTTCCTTTGTTCCTCACAGTCTTCCATAGGGCTCTGGCACTTGTAATTTTAGAAATTAAGCCGTGGGTTAAATACCAGGTTATTGAAAGCACATGAAATCTCTCTGAATCTAGAGGGAATAGAATTTACCCATTTCACTTATGATCACTGTAGAGAATAATAAAATGAAACAAACTTAAATGCATAAAGTAAGTCATTATTACATCAGATGGCCAAAACATTCATATTTCTCCCTTTTTTTTTTTTTTTTTTTTTTTTTTTTGTGTGTGTGTGTGTGTGTGTGTGTGAATGTATTATACAATATAACATTGGTACTTTTTGATTATCCGCATCACTGCAAAAAGTCGGCAACTTCGTGACTTGGCAAAAACCATATGTTTGGTATCTTTATTGCTCCTAGTACTGTTTTTTCCATAAATAATGATAATGAAAAAAGAGCATATTATTAGAAACAATGCATTCTATTAGAAGAAAGAAAAATTTGTATAGCCGATGTTTACATTTTTACAATTGTTTACAGCTTTTTCTATAAATGATGGTTAAATGTGAGTTGTATAATCCTCATGTATCTTCATTATCATGATATATGAATGTGCAAAGTATTTATTATCACATGTACATTTGAAAGTGCATCAGAAGCTTGGGCGTTTTATCGGATTTTGAAATTGGGCTGGGCTGATAAATAGAAAACGCAATAATATTTTAAAATGCTAAATAAACTGGTAGAGGAGATCGGCATTAGATAGTATAGCATAGATAGAACACAGCCATATGAATATAGTAGACATTAGTAGATATACAAGGTATGACACAAAAAAAGGAGACCCAAGTGTGTAGCTTGAAAACAAAGTGGAGATGGCAACAACTGTTTTGGTGACGTCATGCCACACATCTCTATCCATGCGCCTAGTTTCCGCACCAGTGGGGAGTACTGCATTATTGAGTGAACACGTGCAACTGCATTCTGCCGGAAAAATGTCTAATGTAAAAACAGAACAGCGAATCAACATCAAGTTTCTTGTGAAACTTAAGAAATAAGCCATGGAGGAAACATTTCAAATGTTAACTGAGGCTTATGAAGATGAAACTTTGTCTTATGCACATGTGTTTGAATAGCATAAGCAGTTTTCAGGGGGAAGGACAGTGTGAAAGATTATGGGGCTCCCAGCATGTTCGTCGTAATTAAATGAGTTCCCAGTGGTCACACTGTTAATAAACACTATTACATTGAAGTATTATAAAAAGACTGTGTGAAAAAATTGGGGGAAAAAAAAGACCACAGTTATGGAGGGATGGATGCCTGTTACACCAGGAGAATATACCCACTCACACGGCCCTATCTGTCAAACAGCTCCTGACTAGCAAAAACATTACTGTGATAGGGCATCCTCCTTATTTACCTGATTTAGCTCCATGCGACCTTTTTTTTTATTTCCTAAAGTTAAATCTTAAATAGAGGGAACCCATATTAACCCATCTCCTGAAAAGCCTTCCAAAAACCTCGTTCCAGAACTGTTACCAGCAATGGCAGCACCAAATGCAGAAGTGTGTGAATGCTGAAGGAAACTGTTTTGAAGGTGATAATGTCATTGAGAACTGATTTTGTAAGCACAATTATTTATTGGACCAATTCCCCCCCCCTTTTTTGTGTGTCACACCTCGTATAGATTCAGACATGAATTTGGTTGTCAACAGTTAAATGAGCTAGTGGCAGTTTTTTTTTCTCAATGTGTAATGTCTTTGAGGTGCTATTGAAACCTGTATATGTGAAAATCCTGATGACAGGAAAAGTAAATATGAAGTATCCAGTTTCTGTTGCCTAGGCTCAATCTTATAGAACTGACAGAAAGGATTTTTAATAAAGTAATCCAGCCCCTTAGAAATTCTTCTAGGAAAGCATCATAAGCAATAAATTATACAACACATAAAATGTAGTTTATAAACACTGAAATTTTAAATAAAAATATGTTGTTTAATTAGAATAAAAAATTATTTCTTTGTATTGAGACTGCTGTTTATTGATTAATAATCTGAAATGGTTTTTTTTATACGATTTTTATTATTTACAATATAGCTCAGTAAGGTAGCTTTGTAAGAAGTAATAATATATATATATATATATATAAATCATATGTGGGGGGAAGAACAAGATATTTATTATGCTTCATGACATTACCTGAGTTAATCTGGGCTTCAATGAAGCAAGCAAAAAAACAATCTAGCCAAAAGTAAGGCAGAACTGTAGTCTAGGTAATAATAGGTAATTAGAGCTAAAAAATCAAGTAAATATATTTTACGATCTATAAATGTCATTGACAGTATGGTACAGTCTGAAACATGGTGCAAGACATAGTGGCGCATCACAGTCTGGACAATAATACTGCCATTGCTGCTCGAGGGTAATCACTTTGAGCGGGTAATCACAAAAGACATTTGGACCCCTCCCACAGCTAAGAAATAATGTGCATGGCAGAGTGTCAATTGCCATGCGATACTACAGGCGATGACATTAAATATCCATAAAATTTTCCTCCCTTGAGTTAACTTGTTCGTAGGAAAATTGAAACGGCATCTATTCCCGAGATATCTCGGGTGCGATCATTAAGCGGTTAAAAAATCAGTATGCTTAAAGCTGAATAATCATTTAAAATATCCATTTTTCTCACACTGAACAAAAGAGTGTACTAAATTTCTTTAATGAACATTCAGTTTTGTCAAATATTTTTCATATTATTATGCATTATGTGCTTAAATAAGCAACATTTTAAATTTATAAATACATATCTAATGTTGTTAGAATTCAGATTTGTACTAGTTTCAGTTAGTTAAAATAGACTTAATGTCTCACTTTAATTTTATTTTTAGTATAATCTCAAATTCCCAAACTATGATTATGTATAAAATTATTTTAATTTTGTTTAACTTATTTTGTGTTATATAAGTAGTAAATTTTGGTAGTACATGTTTTTTAAATCAGGTCCTGTCACTGTACACACCATTTGTACTAATGAATCTTCTGATTCATCACAGGTATGTACAACAATTGCAGTTATTCTAATTTTGTATTTTTATTCATTAATTAACTCTTGATATTTTCTTTCCAAAACAGGAAGGTAATTTTTTTAGCTTTTTATTTATTAATTTGGTATTAAGTTCCTTTATCAATCTTATTTATCTTTTTTGCTTAATATTTACCATATAAAAATGATTTATAATGCTTTATTACAAAATAAAAACATTACCATTCACACAGGGATAGAATTAGAAAGATTGAGGGAATCAAATTTAATATTTGGCATTGTAAATATTTTTTTTTTTTTTTTTTGTCTAATATAGATAATGAATTTTTGGTACTTTTCCGTTTTGCCGGCGCAAACGATAAAGTTGCCAATAATGGTTTAACTGATGCCAAACGGAATATATTCGCTGGTAACTTTACGCCTCATTCAAACAATTGCAGCCATTTCTATAATTGTTTCTTTCATACTGGATACAACAATAGAATTTTACGATATTTAAATTTTATCCCTCTAAGAATTCACGGTAATTAAGGCAATTAGAACGCATTAAAACCGCCCTCCGGTGGCCACTCGAACAAGTGTTAAACTCATCAATTCTAACGAGAATGCATTAGCGAAGAAAAGCCTGCAGTTTACATAATTTCTGAGTAGCTATCGTACGAATGAAATATTCTTGCATTTAACTTGTATTCCAAATTAATAATTAAATAATGTAAAATTACTGAGAGAATTAGACTTTGTAGCGTATTTACGTGACATGAGATCACTTGAGTCATGTGATACGAACTGGCGAATCAGGATTTGAACCGAAAGCATAGTAAATTCTTAAATTTTTTCTTTTTACTTTTTACAAAATTTTAAACCCTATTAAAATATTTATGCTTCAAAATAAAAAAAAAATTCTTAGAATTACATTTTTATGGTAGCTGTATGTTGTCGCCAACAAAGTCTGCTTGGCGAGATTTGCGCCGGCGAAACGGAAAAGTACCGAATTTTTTAATAAAAATTAACTGCTGTTTAAAAAGTAGACACTTAATGACTAATCCATCAGTTCTTAATTTTGTAATTTATGTAAATATGCTTATAATATATGTAAATATGCTTGAAAAGAAAAGTATAATGTCATATCCAGTGCAAGAAAAAAAAAAACTTTATTATAAATATGAAATGTTTTCGTAGAAAGATGGTCAAAATGTCCATTGCATATATTGAGGCAGGTATTTGCACACTGTGGAATGGCCATGAATGCGATGGATTGGCACTTGTTGCAGCATTGTGGTGTCCACCAAAATACATAAATGTAAAAGCGAGTAACTAAGCCACTTTCTATAGTAACTATATCGCAATAGACTAATTCCTTCAGCTGGCAACATGTCCAATCCAGCAGACTGGGTATTCCATATCCAGATATTCGCATACAAGGACAATGAAATGTGCCAGAGCTCCATCGTGCTGGAAAAATAGGCCATATATTGCTATTAAGGATATGCTATCAAGGAAATTGGTTAATACATCACAAAAAAATACTAAGTGTGAATGTTCCATGAAGCTGTTCCAGTAGTGGATGTGGTCCAATTGGTATCATGCAATTGCATAGTATGCTGACACATTTATAGACCGTGCACACATTTATAGACCGTGAGGCCTAATTCTTTGCAGTTGGATTGCACGATGATTGGACTTGCGTGGCTGTTATGACTGTTGATCATATATGGCTGTCATGACTGTTGAAGGCCCCATCAGATGTGAAGCATTTTTCATCCATTCACAAGATATGTGCATTGAACACATTATCAGCTTTATGTTGTAATGGCCATTCTGAAAAGTTATTTGTTGCTGAAAGTTATTTGGATGTAGACTTTGCATAGTTGTGTAGCGAAATAAGTATAACCTCTATGACTGTAAAAGCCTGGGCACCAACCGTACTGCTACTCACATTCAGCTCCCTGGCTTGTGTGCATGTGCTCAACTCAGAAGTTTCTTCTGCATACTAAAGTATTGCATTTTACTTGATGGCATAAGCTTACTGTGCATTGTTCTACCACTATTGTGAAGGTTGTGGTGGTGAAGAAGGTGGATGCTTTCAGTATTTCTTAATCTGTCGTCTGACATGCACTTTGCATCAGGAAGACAGCAGAATGGATAGCAACAGGCATACTTCTAGCAGTCAAGTAAGATATTACCATTACATTGACCAAAGATAAAGTATATGTCGCAATACCCATGAATGAAATGCATTATCAGCATGCAAAGATTATTGATAGCTTGCATGAAGAAACCTTTTGAGTATGAAGAAGAGCCTTTTGAATATGATTCAAATAACAGCTTGATGTCATTCCATGATGTACATATGCATGCCTCGATATGTGGACATTTTAAACATCTTCGTATGTAAACATATACACATACTGATATTCATGTTTCCAAATAAAGTTTTTTTTTTTTCCTTTTATTGGATATGACACCATGCTTTTCTTTAAGATTTATCTCAATAAGTGTGAGTCATATTGATTTTCTTTTGTTATTTTTTATGTATTCCAAGCTAGAAATCTGCTATGCAGAGTTTGTGGGGTCTTGTTGGGATATCCTGTGTATGATATTGTTGGTGGGAAAATGGTACTGTTCTGTTATTAGGACCGGATTAAGATATGTATGAATGTATGCACATGTGTACGTATGTATGTGCACATACGTGTATATGTATACACACATTCGTGCTTACATATATACATTGCATACATGAACTCATCCATCCATACATATATACATTTCTGGATCCGCTCGTGATAACAGAACAGTACCGTGAAAATGTTGGCAATAAATTATCCTATCAACTGAGAACTTTACTAATCAGCCAGTATTTAAATTGCTAAAACAATTTTTTTTTTTATCTTTACAAAACATAACTAAGATAGTTATGGTCGTTCATAACAGCTTCAATGAGCAAAAATGAAAAGGGAAGGATTAGTAGTTAATAGAAATTGCTTGGTCGAAAGAAACTAGCCCATTTCCCTAACATTTTATACATTTTCAAATATATTTTTACCTCACATTCAAAACCTTCAAGAGACATCATTTTATCTCTTTTGAAATGGTGTGCCATTTGAGTGTAGTTGAGTTTTTACCTGAAATACAGAAACTTGAATTGTGCTATCTGTATACCAGGAAAGACTAGCTTGTTTTTGCCTGTTCCCGTAACTGTCATAGACATGCTGCATAAGAAAATTTTGTTTTCTCGAGAATCTTATATGCACATTTAATTTAACTTTTAGTGCTGTGCTCTAGTTCACCTTCATGAAAGTATTCTTATGGTAATTGAAAGAATTCAAATATATTGCTGCAGTTATTCCAAGTTTAAACTATGGAGACGTAAGCAGTACAAAAAGCTGGTTAGAAATGAGGTTATTATGGAACATGCACCAGCAACCTTTGAAGCTGTTTTAGACAATGCACTCGTCTGTCAGGGTTATTAATCCTATGGTATTTATTGCTTGCTTGTCTATCATATTTTTCAGATAACATATATATTCAAAAAAGACCAGAAGTAATGATAAAAGGTAGATCTATTCTGCATGTTCTCATGTATACTATCAGGAAATATTATACTTATCATTCCAAAGTGGCATGTAATATGATTTCAAAATGATTAATAATAAAACTGAGAAATAATGTGTTTTGCTGACATTTTGTTCTTGTATTAACTAATTATTTTTATTACATCCATCATATTAAAAAAGTTTATTTATATATTATGGTATGATAAATATGACTTCACCTCTTCTGATTTTCACAGATTTATCAAAGCATGTTTACTATGATCATTATACTCATTAATCTTCAAATTATTTCATTAGTCTTCGTATTCTAGTTACAGTAAACCCTGTTGTGATGATCACTTCTGTAAAAGACCATATTTCCGAGAACATAAAATAAACACTAGTACTGAATTTCATAATTGTAAGATAACTGCTGCCACCATCTATGCATGATTGTCTTAGAAATAATAATTATGCTTCATATCTAGACTTTAGTAAAAAGCATGGTATACCACTGGTTAATAGGATGTTTGCATATTAAGGATTACTGGGAATTCTGACTGGGACCAAGGTAATTTTCATGGTGATCTGTGAACCAGAAACAGTCAGGAGTTTGTGGTCTTCAGTTCTGTGCTTGTGTTGATAATGCAGACTTCTTGGAAATCTAAATTACAAGTGTTCAGTCATTTGGAGTAACAACATTTTCTTAGAAATAATTATTTTATTCCAGTGTAACAACATAACATGTGACACTAGAGAACTTCCTGTTGGTGTGGGATCAAATCCCAGAATCCACTGTGGGCTGGTGAAAGTGATAAAAAAAGATTCATAAACGACTTCCCCCTTGGTAATATATCTGTTACTGATCTGGTAAGAGAAAAGAAAATACAGTACAAGTCTGTAATCCGGACTCGTAGGGACTTAGCAATTCCGGATTAAGGGTTTTTCTGGAATATAGATCATCAATTTACATCTGGTAAGATGGCATGCAGAATTTATGCAATTAAAAATATGAAACCATAATTTATGAATTAAAGAGCAATTATGATCTAAAGGGTATCAAAATTTAGCAAAAAAAAAAAAAAAAAAGAAAGAAAAAAACTTAATATTTATTTGTTTACTTTATTGAACATTTCTTTCAATGTAAGTTGTTTAAGTTGCTTCATTTTTTAGTGCTAAATGCGCATGCGTAAACATTAAATGTGCATGCCTAATGTTAAACGCACATGTGTAAGCGCATTATGCACATGCATAAAGCAAACAAAAAAAAAGTTTGTGGCTTTGAGGTCCGGATAATGGACGTCCGGATTACAGACTTTGTACTTTAATGCTTTTGTCTGAGAAATACCAAGAGAATAAGATGCGTTGCATGTCGGGACAGCTGTTGTCTTTCCCCTTCTGTAATAATGCTATAATTTATATTAATCACCCTAGAAAGCCTATTTCAAGTTTTAAATAAATCTAAAAGACAATTTGTCTAGTTATTTCCATCCCATAAGCTTGGTGACATGACACCAACAGTTCCCAGGTATTTTATGTGGTAACTGATAATTTTATTTTATAAAAATTTGAACAGTCTTAATTATTATATTGCATTTGATGATTCTTGAAAAGTTGCTAGTATTTCATAAATGCAGAACATGTTAAATAATGTAATAATTGAAGATAAGAGGAAAAAGAAAATGATCTGAACACGATTAACATGGAGAGCATGGTTGTGATTAGGAAAGTGAACATTTACTGGCGGTATGGTCACTAAATCTTGATGTCAACCAGAGATGGAATTTCTAGTTGCTACACTGAATCAAATTTTTGTCACCCACTACCATTCCAGATATTTCAAATTTTTGTAATTGTTTCAAATTTCTCCAGCAGGACAATTTGCAGGTATCAAATGATGTGTGGGGATTGTATTATTTTGAAGGCTTAATTTCTAAAATTATGATGATGTGTAAAATATCATGTGTGTAGGTATCATGTCACTAGTATCACATGTGTAATCACCAGTGTGATGATCCTATGGATAACCATTAGGGAAGAAGAACAAAAATAACTAAAATAATTAATGAAATAGTAAAATAATTGATAAAAATTATTAATTAAAATAAAAAATGTAAAGAGAAATGGAAAAATTTCAAAATTAGGCACAACAGCAACCTTATCTTAGCATAGATTTTGAAGAAAACTGTTGGTGGTTTTGAAGGTGCTTAGACACAGGTCACTCTTCTTCAGAAGTTAAATAATAAAACTAAATACTGAACCTTGTCTTATTTGGGGGGCTGTGGCTGAAATTACATTTTCACTGGAAAATTAAGAAATACTGAAGCCAAGTACGAGCTAAATGTAAGCCCTGAATATATACAATATAATATGTTTAAAAGTTGAGAGAAACAAAGATAATTTTCTAGATCTGTAAAAAATGCAAATTCGTTAAATCATCACTAAAAAGAATGCTAGAAAAAGTAATAGAGTGTGGAGACAATTTTAATGGAGGGTATGTAAGTATGAAAATAAAAAGCTCAACACTTTGACTCCTGCTGTCATAATTTTAAACGTCAAATGTGACAGGAGGAAAAAAAGTTCTCTCTAATTTTAGGATTGGCTGAGAACAAATGGGACAATTTGTGTCTTCCGTATTAGGTTACATCGTTCCAAAAAGTCCTTTCATGGGAAGTCATTGGTGGTGTATTTATACAACAGAGGTGATCACTTCTAATACTTTCAGGAATTAAACATTTACTCACTCATTTACTTACATAAATTCATTGCATTTTTTGGAGAATAAGCCTTTTACTTGTGGGTGAGGGCTTTCCTCTTCTTAAAAATCTGTATCTATATCTAAGGTTTGTTACCACGGCAAAGACAGGCATGCATTCAGAAATTAGAATAAATTTTTACGGTTATTAAAATAAAATTATTGAGATAAAATTAATTTTCTGCTGAAATATTGGTTCACTTACTTACAATACTGAACAATGTCAGAGCATTCTTATTTATGACTCTAGTGCACTTGGGCTAAAACTGCAATTTATTTCAAATATTTGAAAGTACTGGAGCTGGGCTGGGGTTGCAGTTTAAGCAGAGGTTATTTTATAAGATTAAGAAGTACCGGCACTTTTTATTATCCAAGCTTCCAATTTCAACTTGCAGAATTGCCATGTTTTTGGCATATTTTTGAGTATAGATACAACAATAGCTAACCTACACATGTATATCTCAGGTTTGTGTTTTGAGTACATGATTTACATGTTTGTATATATCCACTATTCTGCTGAAAAGTATCCACTGCTTATAAGAATGTAAATATTAACTTTACAGCATTTCGTTTTCCTCATAAATTTATTGTTTCTTTTTATTTTGTCAATAGAGCAACAGCTATCAACTGTAACATTAACCGACTGAGCATTTACCACCGGTTCATAAAATCAGCAATGAGTTGGCAACTTTACTTGGAATGGGGTGACATATAATTGGAAAATACCGATATATTTGTTATTATTGTTGATACTTCAGATGAAGCATAGTAACTTAAATAATTATCCAGACAGTTCTGTAAAATTTTTTTAGGGTGTTGTATTCCATTTCTCAAAAGCCCTGTAATTACTTCTGTTTTCACTAAATGCTTTATTTTTGTATGCGAAATATTAAAGTATGTATATCTTTATGATTGCTTCAACCTCAAATTACTTAAAAGATTTTTATCACATTTTGATAATTCAGGATAGTGTAATTTTGTTGACTGTATATATTGTTTATTTGTTCAATAATATTATGTGTGTAAAACATTTAAAATTCATAATTTTATTACACATGTTTTTTTAATGTGAAACCTGAATCTATTTTTGCAGTGTCACCGTCGAAAGTCTACGAGTATGTCCAGTGTGAAGGATATTGAGCAAGAAGGGTTTACTTTTAGGCAGAGAAAAATGGTTCCACGAGTGTTATGTGATGGTGAACATGTGGTCATGGAACATGATGCTGGTGATCGTGGGATTAAAGAGCAATCAGAATCAGCTAATTATATTAAAAATGATACAACTGATGTCATAGATGCATTAATACCAGATGCTTTTGACAAAGATAAAATAGTGTCGTGGAATTTTGAAAGTGATCAAGTTGTCAATGATACTGAAAGCAGACGGTCTCTTATAGAAGAACAAGTTATAATACCAGACACTAAAGAAACTATGTTATCCATAGCTTTACAAGTATTTGTGCCTTTTCTAATAGCTGGTTTTGGAACTGTTGGTGCTGGATTGGTTCTTGATGTTGTTCAGGTATATCTTAAAAATATTCTAACTTCATTTATCCTCTTTTAGGTAGCTGAAGTGCTTTTAAGGATTATGCTAGTTGTATAATGCAATTAATATGTATTCAAAATAAAAATTCTGTTTGTCAGGTGCTAGTATTTATATTATATATAAGATACCTAATATTTCCAAATATAAGCCAATCTGTGTATAAGCTGAGAGAGCCTTTTCCTTCAAAAATTTACCCAAAATTCAAAGGCTGTACATAAGCCAAAATGAAAAGAAAAATCTTTTAATGTTCAACTATGTCACCATGAGAGCGAAAATGTTAGCAAAAATGTAGAATGGGTTGAATATTAATATATATATTTTAAAATAACTGTAAAGTAAAATGTCAGATGCCAACTACGAGAGTTTTAACTCTGTTAATCCTATCTGAAACTAGGACATTTTCAGGACATTATCTGAAGCTAGGACAGATTGTAAACAAACAAACAAACAAACAAAAATGAAAACAATCTGTGGTATCTTTAGTAGTTTTTGTTTCATTTTTTTTAGTTGATTACGAGATAAAAAAGTGGTATATTTGGTGATGTCCAGCAGTTTATCACTTGTATCTTGTTAACAGGAAAGTACCTAAGTTTTTTGCAAGATTAGCGGATCTGTACATAAACTGACCCCCATTTTAGCTTCAGTAAAAGTTCCAAAAATTCTAGGCTTATATATGGAAATATACATTAATTAATAAAATTTGAACATTTCTAAGTATTCAAATTTTATTAACTGTCTTCTATATGTGAAATGTGAACATGAATCATAGAAAAATTTAAATGTATCTGTAAATGTTTAAATTGTATTAATTATCTTATGTATAAGATGTTTATATCTTGCAAAGCAGCAACTGTTAACTGTCATTCCAGCAGCACATGTAAACTTCTCCATTGCATCAGTAATCAAATTATCCATGTTGAAATTTTGGCATTTCTTTTGCTGTTTTAAGAGGACTTTGTTCCATTCTTGAATCTCATACTGTGCCAGTTGCCTTAAAACTTTTGTTAAACAAATCTGTCAAAAGACTGTGCGATGAAAAAAGTTATCGAAAAATATTTTGTTTTTCTTAATTTTGAAGACAACTTTTGATCTAAATGGCACATTTTCCTTTTTTGAACTTTTCAAAGGACCTAATATAAACAAACAAATCCTTGTGAAGCAGATGTGGTCATTTCTAACAAAGAAACGAGCAGATATCTGAGCTCAAAACAGGGAAACACAGCTGAAACCATTTACCACATTTCCCTTGGTGAGGGGTCATACCCTCTTCCAGTCCTCTGCCCTATCCGTTCTACAGAAATAAATGACACACCATTAATGTCTGTAAAAAAGGGCATGTTTGTGAGAAAGGAGCACTGAATGTATTTAAAATCTAATGAAGAAAAATATATATGTGATATCACTGATTTTGTATATTTTTACATGCCGTTATTATTTGAATTTCCTTTATTAACTCATTAAACTTGTCCTTTGCAAGTACGATGAGGAAATGTTCGGGTGGATTTGAATTTTCAGGAATTTTGTAGAATTTGTTTTCTTAAATACTGTAAAAATCGTAAAAAAAACTGATTTTTATAAATTTTTCTACGCTGAAATATTCATATTTAAAAAGTAAATTTTATGTCAAAAACTCAGTCATACCTTCTATAATAAACGGTAAATTTTTCAAACTGACAGATATGATAGTGTATTTTTAAAAAATATTAAACGTGATGTTCCAAAAAGGGGACATTGGCATGTGAAAGGTTAATATCTCTTTTTGTGTTAAACTTATTTGATTCTTCCTTTCATATTTTGAAATATAGGTTCATTCCAAACAAAATTCACCTATTTTCTATGGTTTATTTTTAAAATTCATATTTTAAAATAATTTTTATAAATTTTATCAAAAACCTTTTGCATTATAACCTATAAAAGTTTTACTGTCATCTTAAAGTAGACGTATTTTTAAGCATACCTGCAAAAAATTAGAGTTTTTCAGGCCTAAGATATACATAAAATTTCCTAAGGTATACGTAAATATACATTTTGGTGCGTTTTGAAATTTTGTGCATTTATTATAAACCATAATAACGAAAATGTGGTTTTTACATACTTTGTTAAAATTATTTGAAAGTATGAACGGTGACTTTTTTCCCACTCATTGACAACCAAGAAAAAGGAAAGGAAAATTGATTGCCACATATTAAGAAGTTCGCCAAGTGAATTATTCGTGGCGCAAACTGAAAAAATTTGCCAATAAATTCTATAAATCTCATAAAAATACAAAATTTTATCTAGCATAATTTGATCATGGAATCAAAAATATGGAAAAAATTGGATGTTATTAGAAGAAAAGCGATTTTGTGTCAAAATACGTTGTTAGAACAAGCTATATATAATCTAATATAATCAAAATCTTTAATCCAGACGCGGGACTTTGCGATTCGGATTATCGATTTCCAGATTTAGATCTCAGTTTAAATCAGTAAGATAATGCAGAATTATAAATTAAAAAAGAAACCATAATTTATGAAATACAAGAGAAATTTGATCTAAAGGTATCAAATTTACAAAAAAAAATTAATATTATTTACTTTATTAACATTTCTTTCAACGCGCGCATATGCGTAAGCATACATTACGCATAGTCGAAATTAGAAAATTGCAACCAGAAAACTATTTGATGTGTACTCGTGGTATTTATAAGACGGAATTTGATTAATCATATGAAAGAGGCATACATCAAGATGAAATACTACATTAGTAAGGACTTATAAGCTGAATAAAATAAAAACATCTGCCCTAAAGATAAAAATAGTGCTGACAGATCAACTTCCAGTTCATTGCGCAACGTCTCCCTCCCCGCAGAGCAGCATAAAATTAATAAAACAGATTTCGGAATGGTTAGAGAAACAAAGGATATGCCTTTATCCTTTTTTTTTTTTTTTTTTTTTTTGCCAAATCACTTTTTGTTTGATGGACATTGAAACATACTTTCCCTTTGTAGATCCTTTGACAGCTCCAGCATCAGAAATTCTATTTGACTAATCGAAAGTTCAAGCTTACTTTATAAATTGCTCTAACAATGCAAAAAAATAAGCCAACCCTATTCGAGTTAAGGAACAACGCAATCTGCAACATTAAGTGAAAGGGATGATTACATAATTTTAGCTTAGCTTATACCATCCGTTATACATTAAACATGCATGCGTAAACATATTATGCGCATGTGTGAAAGTATTACATGCATGCATAAACGCTTATGCGCATGCGTGAACGCATTATGGGTTGATGCATGTGCAGAAAGTTTGTAGCTTTGAGGTCCGGATTATAGATCATTCTGGATTATGGGTGTCCTGATTAACGACTTTTGACTGTATATCCTAAGTCACGCTTTCGAGACATGGAAAACTCAATTTGAATTTTGTCAGTTGGCTCAATAGAATGGGAGATATAGAAGTGTTCCCCCCCCTTTTTTTTGTGCATTGTATATTATGCTTACGTATCCTACAATACTTTTTTGTTCCATATAATATATTTTATTTTCTGTTTGTCATTTTTCATTGAAATGCATAAGAATCGTTCCTGAAATTCAACCTTTCACTTTTAAATATAATATGATTGTTCTTTTAATTATAACAGCAGTTTCTCAAATTGCAGAAACTCTCGGGTTAATTGTTAATTTATTTGCTGAAATTCAAGATTTCCTATCATGAATTCTCCAGATTCTTTTTTTTTTTTTTTTTTTTTTTTTTTTTTTTTTTTTTAAGTCCAAAGGGACATTAGACCCAAAGGGCTATTAGTCTCAAAATGGCATTTGTGTCGTTTCACTTTCTGCATTGGTTCACTTTTCAAACTCTTGCCACCAAATATTATATTTAAAGAAACTAAATATTGAAGAATCTGCATGAATGTTACTTGCATTATGAAAAAACGGTACCTAGAGTCATTAAATTTTGAATAATGTAGTCCTCCAACTGAACATGGACACTTGAAAGCCCGAATTTTGAATTTCAAATTTGTTTTATTATCGATTTTAAATTTTATAAAACTTTAACAAATTATTGATTAACAAACTCAATGGTTTCAAAGGGAGCAATGGCAACACTATACAGTGAAAAAAAAAAACTTTTTTATCTCTAGTGCACAAGACTGTGTATTGGAAATATGAGACTGTTCAAAAAAAGAATTTATTTTAAATTTATTTGTATAAAAGAATGCAGCATTCTCGAATTCTGTTGGAATATATTATATATTTTTACTATAAAATTTTCCTCTGTGCTGTCTGTGCATCAGAAGTGATATTTTGTGATCATGATAAAATCTTATTGTTTTGCAATATCATTAGCTATAAATTTGAAAAATAACAGACCTGCAAAAATTTCATTCTGCTCTCTTCAACTGTGTTTAGTTTAGAGTTCTGTGTATAATAATAGCTTGTAATAAAATTCCAGCCATTCTTTTTCAAGTCATTTACTCATCATAGATATCACTTCATATCATGAATCATAAGTAGAACCTGAATGATAACCACACCTATTGTTTCTGTGATACCTGAAGAAGGGTATATTACAAGGCTGGCCAAACTTCAGCATAGTAGGAGCCATATGCTAGGATTCATGAATTTTTCATAGCTGCAAGTAGATTTTCTGAGTCACTATTCCTTATTTAGAGTATTTTAAAAGTAATAAAGAAATTTTCATGAACAGAAACATTTGAAATAAATTAATAAGATTTTTTTTGAGAGGGGTGTTAATGTAGTTGCACATATATATAATAACTTCCATTTCTCCTACTGTATATTCATGAAAATTTGTTCTACAATTTACAAATTTGAAACTGCTATACATTGCAATTTATAATGTCTTTTCAGGAGGGAAAAAAAAAATTCCTTGATATAATTGTTGATTGGTTTTTAGCAGAAATATACTGAAATCAAAAGAACATTAATGATCTTTGCCACTACAAGAACTTAGAAAGCTTTTCTTATCAAT